AAAGTATGTGCGTTCTACAGTCTGATGAAATGTTGCACTTGCGTTTAAGGAAGTAGTTGGGAAGAATTTGTTAATTTAGTGATTGGTAAGCATGTTTCCATTTCTCTGACGCCTACTAAGTTACAAATGTTATAACAATCAGGGAAGACTTTTTAGAAATTTTGGAAAATCAAATGTTTATCACAAAAAATCATCAGCGCCAGAAAAGAACAGAAAGAGTTTCAAACATTCAAACAAACGGAGGCATGTAATACTGTTTATGAGGAACGTTTGCACGGGGAAGCTGAAAGTGTCTGAATTTTACAGTTGGGTTGGAGGTATTGAGAAATTTTAGTTTATTTAATCATAAATGTTATAAATATAATAAAATTAAAATAGTAATTAAATTCATAAGTTCTTTCTCACCAGATAGAAATTATTTTGTACAATTTTTGAAATGGGATTTTTGAAATTTTGAAATAATTTATAAATTGGGATTGTGTGAGTTTCTGTTAGAGCCCATTCTTATCGAAGTCATAGAACAATTTCAAGTTTCATTTAAACTTTCAAAAATAAAACAAAACAAATGGAGAATGTGGAAAGGAATTGAAAAAATTGAGCCACGGTGGGTGTAGGAGTAAGATGAAAAATTTCCGTCTCCGGTACCTCAAAAGATTCAGAATCCGACTTCTGGTTAAAATACCCGATCCCAACTTCCAAGTCAGACTCGACTCAACTGATAATCATTAAACGTATTTTGGTAAAAATTAATTGTACAATATCCTCTCTAAACATTTTCAAATTTTATGTTACACACGAATAGAACAAAAAAGAAGATAATTTAAATAAGAGATATTTTTCGTTTTAAATCCGACAATGCATTAAATAATTTAGTAGAGTAATTAAAAATTATAAACAGTATTAAATTTTAGCCGAAAACTTCCAAAATTTTTCACCGAATACAATTTTTTAGCGTAGAAATAGTTTCTATTATTTTAAATACAATTATTTATAAAGATCACTGCGTCTTCGTCATTATTCAACTCGTAGTCGAGTTTGAGTTGAAATGTATAATGCCGAAAACGCTGTGATCTTTATAAATAATTGTAATTTCTATTATTTTAAATTTAAACGTTCCTCCCGTGCAACTTTCCAAGTATGAAATCCAACTCCAATGTAAGATTTATAGATTTGACGAGTTTAAAATAACCACAATATAATTATTCATTTCATACGATGGCAAGAGCTTTTTGGTACGAAAAAATAATTTCTTACAAATTACAAAAATTAATTCAATGAAACAATAACTTGATTGGAAACAATTTTCTCAAAGTTTATATAAGATCTTGGTTTTCTAAAAGATAAAATATCTATTAAATAGACAATAATATTTTTCAAATTTGTTTAAAATAATTATTTGGCGAAAAATTATACAGCATACATGCCAACATTTGGATTTCTAAAAGCAGGACAAATGTATATAAGAAATATATAAAAATTTATCTTAAAAATTTATTATTATTTCTTTCAAATATTGCCAAATGTTTTTTTGGGTTGGCTGTTTTTATTTTGTTCTAATCCTAATGTAAACCTACTGTCAAACATTTCTAAAATAAATTTACAAAACAAAACAAACCGCACTCACGTACTCACGTACACACACACGCACACACGCGCGCGCACACACACACATAAAAAAATTATCGTTATAATGACCATCTTCATCATCACTATCTTAGTCACTTTTTAGTCATATTCATCACCATCATAATCATTTCCATCACATCATAATCATCTCTATCACATTATCATCACCGCGGCAACCTTTCAAGCCACAACCGACTCCCAAACTCAAAGATGCACACATATAAAAGCAAACAAACAAACAAACATACAAACAAACCAACAAACATACAAACAAACAAACAAATGAATATCTATAAACACACACACAGACAAGCTCATTGTTACGACACCAAACATACATTTTAAAATATATTTCATGGCCACACACACATTTACACTTTCATAAACACACGCACATACAAATACATACATAAGCACTTATTTTATTGCACATGCATACAATTCCTAAAAAACGCATTTATACAGATAAAAATACAAATACAACAACACATGTGTGAAACATGCACACGCACATGCGAATAAATATAAGAAAGGGAAAGAAGAAGGAATTAAAAAAGAGATAAAGAAGAAGAGAGGGAGAGACAGAAAGAGAGAGAGACAGACAGACAGACAGAGAGAGACGGAGAGAGACAGAGAGAGACGGAGAGAGACAGAAAGTGTGTTCCTTTGTAGACTGAACCTTTTTGACGCATCGTGACATCGGCGTCTTACAACAACTTGATAAATGATTCTGAACTCTACCTTTTACACTCACGCACAATGACTATAGGGTGTGCGTTTCTGTTGCATATTTGTATGTTTAAGTTGCTTTATGTGTGTGTGCGCGCGTGTGTGCGTGTGTACTTGGTGTGTGTTGTGTGTTTGTTATGTGTATGTATGTATGTATGTGTGTGTGTGGGTGTGTGTGTGTGGGTGTGTGTGGGTGGGTGTGTGCATGGAGAGAGAGATAAAAATGTGCAATACACTTATTTATTCATCTATTTAATCATATTTATGATATGTTCAAAATGTTAGACAATTAATGTGATCACTGCTTAATCATTTGCTTGCTTTCATCTTGCAATTGCTGGGACTTGGTTACGTGGGAGTTTGTAGACAGGGTTGTGGAAATCACTGCGCGGTCATTGTTTTTGTATTTCCGGTTTTGTATTTTTGGTTTTGTATTTCCGGTTTTATATTTTTGGTTTTGTATAATTATTTGTATGCGGAATATACGTTGTATGTAGTATGATGTCGTAATTGAAGCCTTTCTAACTACCAAAACATGTAACTCAACAACAACCACTACTACAACAACAACTACTACCTCTACTACTACTACTACCACAACAACTACCACAACAACTACAGCAGCAGCAGCTAAATAATAACACCACCTACTAGCAAAATTATTCTTCAATTCTTGAAAAACAACGTATGAAACGTTGTACGGGCCACAAATCTCAGTCGTCTCTGTCTGCTCTGCAGGCAGTGCGATCTGTAAGACAAGTTTTTCAAACTATAGAAGATCTCATTCACCCATATAATTTAATGGCATGTTTTAGTTTAAGGTGTTGCCGTTCAGTTGAAATCTAGATGCTACCTATGGATTAAAGTCATAATTATTATAAATAACTTGTTTTTACTCAAAAATTTACTCTGATTCTATCCAAATAAAAAATATAATCACTTTAGAAATATGGATAATAATAACGCAACGATCTTAAACAAACGACAATGATGAAGTAACGTTAAACATAGACGCAGCAGAAATACTATCGAACATAAAGTAATTATGCATTTGAGATTCACAATGACGGTTGTACGTTGTTGTATAACAATTGTACACATAGGTGTATGCAAAACGTACTTGGCTGCTGCTGGCTCCACCCATACTAATTAATATTCATGAATGTGATGAACAGTTATAAATATATCATTACGTAATGTAATGTTGTATTAGTCCTCCACCCGTCTAGCAAAGCAACATCGGGGTGATACAGTTTTAACTCTTAATCCCTTCCCAGCCATGCCCATGGGAATGGCATGATGTCTTTGCACGTAAGCATCAGGTTGTGAGCTAGAGGAAAGTTGCACAGATCGCCCCACGTTACAGTTACGTCATTACAACAGCAAGGATACTTCTTGTATTTGAACCCTGTCACTCCAACACGAAAGACGACTGCTCAACCATTTAAGCCATCCTGTTTTTACTGCTTCGATTTTTCTGTGAAAATAGCATTTGTCGTCAAGCTTAGAAGTCATTTGAACCTTCGCAACGAGCAATTCCACTTTAAAACCGCTGATGGTGACGTAAGTTTCTATTTATAGTTCATGCTATTTATAGGTGGCGCTAACCTATAGATATTTTATTGATATGTATAATTAGACAATGGACAGCTGTCTTCGGGAAT